GCTGGGGAATTCTGGGAGTTGAAGTCCACACGTCTTCAAGTGGCCAAGGTTGAGAAACACTACCCTGCACACACAGAGCATGTCTTCTCTAGCGCCCGTATTGCAGAGACATTCCTACTAGCCTCATCTCACCACACACAGGACAATTCTACACCTCCCTGCTGTTTTCCAACACCAACCCTGCTACAACATATAAAGCCAGGTTCTGCACAGCAACGGTTAATATTCGTCAGATGTTGACCTGTGCCATAAACCAATTTGAGCATTTAGTTTGTCATACTAGAGTGCTCTGTCATTTGACATAGTCTGCCACACACTAACCTTTATGTTCCCCTACACCCATCTAATGTTCCTACCCCTCCTTTTAGATATATATTTTGTTTTATATATTTTGGCTAATAATAATAATAATAATAATAATAATAATAATAATAAAATAATAATAATAATAATATAGTCTCTATGCTTTTTAATTGACTGTACCCCACCCTCCTGATGCTGGTCTTTGACCATAATAAAGAGTTGATGATGGAGTTAAGAGTTGATGATGGAGTTAATAACTGTATCATCATGTCTCTTCCTCCCCTGCCCTGGCAATTTAATTTCACAGAAACATCAAAGAGAATAATTTAGGCTACAACCCAGTGTGGCTCAAGCAATCTTTATTTTGTGTTTATTATTTTTAAACCATTTTAAAAGTTTTTTTTTTTTTTTTTTTAATACAGGTAACTTAAATGAGGTGATAAAACAAGTCTATGCGTTTTCCCCTTCCCCCCTCCCACACACATTCTTTCAAAACACACATACAGGAGGATTTTTTTTTTTAAATAATGCTTCTGGGATTCATTTTTGCTGTTACCTAAACTTTCGGGATGGGGGGAAAAGAGCCGACCCCCCCCAGGTGAGAGTGAAAAAAATGGATGAGGGGGGGGGCAGGGAGTAAGGATATATACACTCACACACCATACAAAAAAGTAGTACATTTAAATATACACTTAAAAAAAACATTTTAAAAACTTTTTAAAAATCCCGCTACAGCATCACATACAAAGGAAATTTCACATCTAGGGAAAAGAAGGAGGAAGTGTAATGACACAATTTGACTGGGGGGAGTAGTTAGCCCCACACCCTCCAGTTGGCAAGATGTTCCAGGATGCAGATTTTAATGGCACCTGAGGGAGAGGAGGGTGAAGAGCTGTGCAACTGTCTTAAAATACAAGCAAAACACGAGGTTGAGGGGCTATCTTTGCCAAACACAAGGTTGGGGGGACCAAAGAAGAGAAACGTGTACGGAATTATGTGAGACCTGACACCACCTTGCAGGCACCCCAAAATTTGTTTGGATGAGGCTTCTGTAACCCATCCAGGTGTGCTGGATGACACCTTTCCTTGAGCACTTGGCCCAGCACCTCTGGAGAATGCCAGGCCGGGGAAGGTGGGTTCCCATGCTCCACAGGACCCCTTTGAAGAAGTTTCTAGTTGTCATCTAATTGACATTAATCCACAAAGGAGAGGCGGCCACCTCTTCAACCCGACGTCTAACCCTGAAATGTTGCAAAACGTGTTCCTGCAAAATCCTAGCCAAACTCCAATGCAAAGTTTTCTCTCTGCCCCCTATCTTGGGTATCCTATTTTTTCCCACAAAGATGGGTGGCTGTGTGCTAACTGAAAAGACAGTTTAATTGAACAGGATATAAACTTCTTGGATAGCCAGAAGAGTTGACTAGCCTCTAATCACAAATCTCCCTAGTTCAGAGATGGGGGAAAAAAACTCATTTGAAGGGACACAGAACCACGCATGGTTCGAACAGGAAAGAACATTTCTGCTATGAACGGTTTGTGCGTCAAGGAAAAAAAGCTCTGTGCATCAAGGTGAAAATCTCCCCTCAAAAAACGGGAAAGCAGAGGACATCTCAGGCTGCCGGCTTCCAAAACGACCCCCTTCCCAGCATTTTCCTCGAATGCCTCCATTGGTCTCAGCCAGGCTTTATGGCACCAACCACTGAAAGATGATTCTTTCAAGAGCAGGTACAAATTTGGCACAAACTAAAGAAGAAAAGGGAGGGAAGAAAGATAATGGAGCAAGTGATGGGCAAACCTTTTTCAAAGGAGGTGTTTGCTTCATAAGTTTATTCTGGTTTTGGTTACCCTTTTTTAAAAGGGGAAAAACGAACATTGGACAAGTAGTGTTACAAACTCCTGGGCCAAGGCGATGTCAGTTTTGCTCCTCTGCCCCAACATTTCTCCCATCGCCCAAACTATGGAAAAGGGTTGTGTACATAGATGGGAACAGCCACTAAGCCAAGAGAAAAATGATAAGGCAAAGAAGGTTGCCTCGCCATTCCTTTCAGTGTGGGTTTTCCCATGTTTTAAAGTCTGCAAAGCCCTCTTGGAAAACTGGGACAAGTCAACGAAAGCCCAAAATGAAACGGAAGGCTGGAGAAAAGAGGAGCTGACCCTTTCCAGCTTTTGACCTTTTCCAGCAGCAAAAACATACGTTGGAAAATGAGTTCATTTTTCCCTGTAGGGATGGGGGAACCCAAAATGGCATAGAGGTTTAAAGCAGGAGATGGGGAATTTGTATCCGCTTTAACCCCCGTCAGTGGTGAGAAACGCAGCCCAACCTCTTAAGAGTTGTGGGTTACCCATCCGTGTTTATCACGATGCAACTCGTGGGGTGCCTATTTGCTCTTAGAGAAGCTTACAGAAACTACGATAAACATAGGCATCGAGTGGTTTATTGGTCGGGGAATCTGGAAAGGAATCCATGGGAAGTGTGATCTTTGAAAATGACCTGTTAAAGAGATCCAGCTACGACCCACCATTACAGCCTCCGATCTCCTTTTCAGGGAGAACTGTGCTATTTTTATGATCCCGCATTTGTCCTCCTATCATGACCTAGAGATACTTAGCAATGAACCCCCCATGTTAGGTTTTCATAGAGATGGGCTTGCAGATTAAATTCTTATTTCATAAGCTGGATCTATGGATGATCCCAAGTTATTCTCCATGCCGCCTTTTCTTTGAAACACAAACATTAACACACACACAGACACACACACGTACTTGTGGTTGCTAGGTCTGTACAAAAAGACAAGAACAAATTTCTACAGCCTATGAAAAATTTACTGGCTCAGATCATCAATGTCTATCAGTAACTAAAAAACACCCTAGCATTTAAGTAAGTTACCAGAGATTATTTTTGGGTCCCTTAATTAAAAATAATGGGGGAAAAAACCCTAAATTAAAAAAAAAAACTTGGATGAGAACAAGAGCTTGGTCTCTGTAACAAGAGGGTGTATTTTGGACTCCTGTGTATAGGCCTGGGCAAAATTGCCTCTGAGAATGGACAGATAGGCTGGGTCGTTTCATGGGAGAGATGGGTGAGGGCGAATGGAGAACGTAGGCAATTTTTAGGGGCTATAAAGACGCATTGAAAGCGGTCTCAGCAGCTACCCAAAGTGGAGGAGGAGATAAAGATGGAAGGGCAGGATTCCTCAACCATGGCCACTTTAAGACGTGTGGACTTCAACTCCCAGAATTCCCCAGCCAGCAAGGCTGGCTGG